GCAATGATAAACAAGGATTCTTCTCAAACACCCGTAAAATCATTTTGTCCTCCTTTTTCGTCGTTTTCTGCACAGAGCCACGATCCGGCAAGTCATCAACGTTTTTGACCTCGGAATAACGTTTCACCCACTTACTCACAAACGCCTTAGACTTCTTCATATACTTAGCAGCCGCTCCGCGCGACATTTTTGGTCCTTTCGGATGCGAACATAGAAACACAGCTTCGTAACGTGATGCGTACGCGGCACTCATGTTGAAATACGCCCTTTTGTGACGAAAGTCAAACGATAACTAAGGCTTTCTAGACAAAGCATCTTGGGAGAAGAGCCCCGCTATTGGCTCGCGTTCATATCCCCCCTCTAACGGTTTCGAGGAAAAAGTTTTGCCGTACACGCTCTTATCAAACATACTGTATGTCCTGCTGCAATTTGTAACTTATACTGTCAAGTCACGGCAACGGAGATTTTCTTCTAAAACCATTAGTAATTAGTAGTGAAGACACGGAAAATATTTCTTTTCCCCTACTCTCCAATTTCCCTCAACTTTTCGGCTTATAAATGCCTAACATGCCCAGCAAACCAGCACCGTATTTATATAGCAGTAATATAACATAGATATGTAATGTCAGCACAACCATATTGTTTGTTATATAACTGTTACGTGTTACATAACATTTACATAAAATGTAACATTTATATAAAATACTATATGGTTGAGCTGACATTCAAACATTAATGTTATATTACTGATACTTGTGATTTGCTGGGTGCAAGTTATACACAACGCGGATGTACGTAACCCAGTACACAAGATGACAGTTAACAGTTAATAAGCTATTTATAGAAGTGATGGGAAGATGTACTTGTGATCAGTTTTTAAAAAGAATTATACCTTATAGTTGGGTCTTATTGTCTAATGCGTATATGCTTTGTGAATAACGAATAACTTGTTAATAACGATATAGAAATGAAATGCGAAGTATAAGAAAATTTGAGAATCCAGTAAACACCAATTAACGATTATATAATATAAGGTATAAAAGTTTTTATTCATCTTCCACTCTCCTCACACTAAAATACAGACTAACGCGAGATATATCTCCAGTCATGTTTTATTTCAAATATTTATGACAGTCTGGTCAGAAATCTAATCCCATAGCACCAATAGCACTGAGAGAGGATGACGCACACAAACGTGCCCGTGTATGCTCCGAATTTCGGGTGACTCAGTTGAAAATGACAACATATGATACGACTTCCAGTCTTCTTCCTTCACGCGAGCTGTTTCGTTGGCAGTGTGTTGTTCAACTGTGATCAAAGATGTTTTCCTTATATTATATTATACATATTGTATATTATAGAGGAAAGTAGCCAAAAGCGACATAGTCCTCCTAAAGCAACAGACTTCTATATCTCATATATGAAATGTTGTATTTTATCGAAACTATTATATACGTAATTCATTTTACTAGTAAAGTCTTGAAAAAGTCATACTTGGTATATTTCTTGTTCTTTTATATGCTAAATTAGTAAATATTGAGTGTTAGAAATTCGCAAGTTTTATTTCTGATTTTTATTGGAGAATTACGTAGACTAAACATCGGTAATTATCTTTTTGTACAACATTAAGTTCTTCTAGAAGTTCTTCTTTAGCTTTTGTACAAATATTTTTTTTAATATTTTAATCTTTATCACTTTTTTATTGTGTAACTTGAAAAATTTTATGAGAATGCGTTTTAAAGTGACATACCTATAGTATGTGATAGTTACGATAGTCTGTAACTAACATAACCTGATTCACATTGTAAAGTGACATGTGTCGTATATGAACTTACTCTGCTGCAGTAATGTAAATGTAAATCATTTTCAATAATTATTTGTAACTATATACATCAGTGAACACTAACTAACATAAATATTGCTTTTAAATAAAATGAATATTATTCAACTATTAAACGCATTAATGGACTATTTATTATCAAATATTATCATATATGTAACATGTTATATAACTTCCAAAAGGTATGTCGCTTTTGGCACCCACTTCCTTTGAACTCTATTTTCGTGCGTTTTACAAAAACATTATTTGTTTTAAGTCTAGAAACAATTTCAGTAAAAATATGATATTATCTGATAGAGGGTACTTCCAACTACATGTATATATATTTACATTTATATTTTGAGCTTTACATAACCTTCAAAAACAAAGTGGTATGTCGCTTTTGGTGCCTTTACTCTATTATATTATATTGTAGAATTTAATTTAATTCTAATTATAGTATTAATGAAATTCACTCTTGGCCAACGTGTACATTTCAATTTAATGAATTTGTTTTATTAAAATATATTTAAAAATGTCTTAGAGCAATGAAATGAAAGCAATAAGTGATTTGATTAGTATCACTGGCGTGTGTGAACGCTTCATAAGCTTACTGGTTAACATCGCATGCTACTTATAATCCACAAGATATATTTGGCATATAGTGATAGAAAATTTGACTCCCGAGCAGCATCGGGAGCTTCACGGACACGGTCGCGTGAGTTTGTGCGTATCTCCTTCCGTATTGATGCGTACTTGGGAGTCAAAATTTCTATCACTGGTGCCATAATTCTTAATTCTCTTAATTTTATAATATTAATATAATATGTCCGTATCACAAAAAATAAATAAATATCTCTCATTATAATTTTTCTCTTCTTCTAATAGATGAAAATATACATATTTCTGTATAAAATACAATGAGATAGAAAACAATTCTTTAAATATAAGTTCCTTTTTTTGATATTATAGAGTATTTTAAGTCGAATTGAATATACTCTCACTTTTATCGATATTTTATGTTATTTTATTTATTTATGTTATTATTAAATCGAAAATATATTACCTCTTCCATTTGATACGACTGGCTTCCAAAGTACTTAAATTATCCTTAAGCAGGTAAAGGCGTATACCTATAAATTGATCCTCCAAATATTTCGGCCAAACCTTTCATGTTAAAGTCGAATAAAAACTGATCATTTTTGTCCAGGATTCGCGACATTACCTGAATGTTATCCTCGCTGTGTGTCCAATTGTACATCCCAAAGTAACTAATTGCGTCCTGATACTTGATTATCATATCGTACAATTTCCATATTCTGAAAGAGATAAAACAACGTCAACGTAAACGTTACTTTAGTACATACGACGCAATCTTCGAATACCTTTGTTGAGCACCTGTGCATTTTTAAAAGATATCGATTAATAAAGCGGGTAACAAGTGGCCAAACCAAACGCACATTTCGTATATAATCTTATTTCTGACCACTGTAATAGTTGGCATCTAAAAGCAGTGCTTCGTCGGATATTTTCGAGAGTTTAATCGCAGGTGAGTGGCATAGTCACTCACAGACAAAGGCATATCGTTCGTCGATATACTATTATAAATTAACAATTTGTCGCCTCTCCTACAATTAGGAAGTGCTAGGATAAAACGTAAAAACTATTCGCTGTAAGAACAAAAATCTAAACGATGACTCCAGGATTTTAAAAATAAAAACATTTTATCTCACTTTGGAGCTCTGATAGTAAAACCAAATTTTTATGACAATAATAAGGCCATTAAGAGCTAAGTGCTGGTGTTTGTGTATATATAACATAATGGGAGGGGATAATAATGTTTGTAGTGTAAACGCACGCGCGTATTGGGATTTCCGGTCTTTTGTACGCAAGAATTACACTTTCCACTAAGAAAGCGTCCCTATTCCCCCAATCTTTTATGATTTCTAAATACCCTTCCTTATTTATCTAATATTCCCAATGCACATTAATTATGTTGAAGGAAGAGAGCGTATCGTATATTTAGGATGTTTGTCGTAGGATGTTTGCGATTTTGAACAAAGACTAATAAGTACTATAAACAGACGGATGACGCCGCGTCAGCTGAGAAGTCGGCTCTCACGCGGGCGACATGTGATAGCAGGCATAACACGTTTCCGCGCTGCGAGCTCGATCAGCTGATTAGCTGATCGAGCAATACTTGTAAACATTTTTTAGCGTGGCTGTTTTTCCGGAATATGCTCACATGTGTCTCAGTAAGATCTCACCAACAGGTTGCGAAAGCGGGATATAAAAATGATGCGAGCGAAGAAAACAGGGGCAGAGAAAGAGTTGCGTCAGTTGCATTGCGCGAGCGCGGGACCTGAAAGCCGTATGAGCAACTCTGTAATTAATAAAGAGACGTATTTGCGAGGACAGAAAACCGAGTGTCAGGCTTTTTCTGTCCTACAATCCTACAATATTTACATTTTCAATAATAACAACTTATGAGAGAAAATTATTCCAGCGTTGCAACGAATACAGTCGAAGACTCCGTGGCCAAATAGGTACGGCGTCCCACCTGGCAAGTGAGGTGGTCCAGGTTCGACTTCTATGTGAGGCACTATTTTTCAACATAGAGAATAATTAACACGCACAATAATTAACAATATTACATAAATAAAAAGGAGTACTTACAATTCATAAAAAATTGAGGGATTAGAGTCAGTTTGTTAGTGAAAAATGTGATTCTTTGTGAATGTTAATAAAATGTATGATTCTTTGTTTAATATTAATATTGTAATATGTTAATATTGTTAATAAAAGATTGGAAATTCCATTTGGCATGTGTGTTTACACTACATTATTGTCCTTCTTTATTATATTACATTTGCACGAACATCAGCACTTAGTTCTTAATGGCCTTATTACTATTATAAGAAAAAATTACTTTGGTCATTTTCTTGAAGTCAGATTCTCATCAGCATTTTCAAAAGATAATTTCTTTCATAAATGGACTTACGAATCTGAAGTATATTTCGTTTTCGGCAATCTCGACAACGCTTTTACTTCAAAATATTTTATGCTCAAGTGATTAAAGTTACAAACTCACAATGAATTAGAAACTACGAATTTATCACAAACTTTAGCTGCTAATTTATTGCTACACGAGCTCTTTTATGACGATACTTATGAAATTATTTATAATTACTTGCAAATATAATTATTTAATAAAATATTATAATCAATTCAAATAAAAAATATAAGTTCATATCTTTACGTCAGTGCATGTCATTACGTCAATGTCATAATGTTACGTAATTATGTTATGTAATATAACTTCTGTAACTTATGACATATCGTTTTTTGCTTTACGAATTTTTTAATTAAAATATACTTGTATTATAAATAATTCTCTGATGAACTTGGATCATTCTACATAATTTTATACATGTCTTTGATATTTATTCAGATAAAATTCTTTGATATTTTTACAATTATCTTAACTCTCTCGCAACGACGCATGCTATAATTTAAATTAGAATATCACACACACACATATTTACATTTAATCTTTACAATATATTTCTATATGATGCAGTAGTAGTGCTTGTACATGATATACGAGATGATCCTTGCCATTTACTGTATGCAATAGAGTCTGAAATTTATTTCATTAATTTTCAATTCATTTTATTGCCTGAAACAAATAGAAACACCATACATGTATAATGACTTATGATAAATTGTTTATCATTATCATTATATTTGTTCCGCGAAGAATATATACAGGGTGTTCAAAAAGTCCCGGACCGGTGAAATATCTCGAAAACTAAGCATTTTAGAAAAAAATGTTTCAGATAAAAGTTGTGGCGTTTAAAAAGATGTATTTACTGAT